AAACATTTGTTGTATAAATATAAAGTATGAAAAATTGTAAGTATACTTTCCAGACTGCTGATGTGTACTGTATAGTTTTCTAATTTTATTTTCTTTTTATGCATACACATTTATGAGTATCTTTGATTATGCTTTTATAGTATATTTCATTATTTAAATATAAACCTTTTATAATTTATGTTTCTGAAATTGGGATGTTTTATAATCAAAGGTATATTTTCATTTGATTGGCAGCATTTTTTAATCAGTGGTACATAAAATGAGGATGTCTTGAAATCTATGGCAGATTTGATGAAATATGGTATTTATTTGAAACAACAATGGGATCAACTATTTTCCCCACCTGAATATCTTGAGCATTTCCCCATATTGATATTCTTAGATCTATCTCATTCTTTTTTTTCGGTCCTGGGGATCAAACTTGGTTGTTGCACTTGCACGACAAGCGAAGAAAACACTGAGCTAAATCCCCGGCCCTCTATTTCATTCTTAGTATACAAGATTAAGGATATATCGTTTACCTAAATGCTTTTCAACATTTGAGCTTTTCCATTTTTTTCTGTTACAAATAGTGCTGTATTGAATATCTTTGTATAAATCTTTATACACGTGAGTGAAATATCTTTTGATTAGCTACCTAGATTCACGGGTACACATATATCCTGTAGTACCGGGGTACCTGTCACCTTATAGTCTCAGAAGTACTGCAGTCTTAAGAAATTTTAAATTGTTAATTAGTCTGGGATATGAAAACTGTCCTAGTGTTTTAATGTAATTTCTTACTAACTTAGGAAGTTGAGCTTGTTTTTATGTTTATTGTTTTTATTTCCTCTTAAGGTACTTTTGCTTAGAACTGTAAATTTTTAATTGACTGGCAGATATATACTAATTAGAATGAGAAACCTTCAAAGTTTGGAGCTGTGAGTTATTCTTGGGAACAGCTCTCAGGTTGACAGAGCCCATTCTTGTGGAGGACAAGAGAGTTTTATAAGGACCCCAATATTGGAGGAAAGAATTCAGGGATAGTCAAAATTATAGTGTTTTAGAAGCCACGTGGAGGGGTGCATGTCTGTATGTAATCCCAGCTGCTCAGGAGGCTGAAGTAGAATTACACATTTGAGGAAAGCCTGGGCAATATAGCAAGGCCCTGGCTTTAAAAATGTTTGAAAAAAATATTCTTTTATAATGAAAGCAAAGAGTTGAGAAGAGTTGCAGTATCATCAGTTTGTAAAACTAAAGACTGGAATTTACACCACGCTGTTAGTTTTTAGTTTTTAAATAGTCCTTTTTTCAAACTTTGTTTTTCTTTAATATGATTTGGTTGTTGTGTAATATAGGTTAGTAGGTTTATATTTTTTGTAGTACTGGGGTTTGAACCTAGGGCCTTTGAACTGAACTATATATCCTCAGCCCTTTAAAATATATGTATTTATTTATAATTTTGAGATAGAATCTCATTAAATTGCCCAAGCTGGGATCAAAGTTGTGATGCTCCTGCTGAACCTCCCAGAGTGCTGGGATTATAGGCATGGGCCACCACACCCAGCTAGGATAGTAGGTTTGAAATAGGACACCACTCAGGGTCTTTAGTGAAGTCAGTATTGGATCCAGAGTTTAAATCTGTGATCATTAGATTAATATTTCTTTGTTTGCACATTGTTAAAATCTTATTAATGTTTTAAAAATGGTTATTGGATCTGCTTTTTAGGTTCCATTGGAGTCTGTGGAAGAAACAGATTTCAGTCCTTTGGTAAAGTGAAGCTAGATAATACATAGAGTCTGGCAAGCATAGAGGAAGGGTTTTTTAAAACTAGTATGAGAATTTAAGGAATGCTCTCTGGAGGAGAGATAATTTAAACTGAATTTTGAAGGATGAGTAAGTTAGTGAAAGTATTAAGTAGGAAAGGAAACAACAAGCGAGGCATGGTGGCACATAGCTATAATCCCAGGACGTGGGAGGCTGAGGCAGGAGGACCCTCAATTCCAGACCAGTTTGGGATGAACATAACCTTAGAGATGAGCAGTGACAGGAAGGCTGGGAAGGTAAGCAGGAACTGGGTAATGAAGGGCCTTGAACACCATGCTAGAAGTCCCTTATTTTAAAGGTTAAGGGGAATCATTTTTGCAATGGCAGGACCACATTAGCCTGTTAGAAATCACTGCCTAAAGATCACTTTAGAGGCAAGAAAGCAAAAGACATGTTGGGAAACAATCTGGTAATCCAAGTGAGAGAATTAGGACCTTAGCTCAGTAGGAATAGTTTATTGGGAAAATGGAACTGTGTTTATTATTTTGCAGAGCTGACATACTATTTGTCCAGTTGTTTTTCAGTCATTTATGTCTGTAAGAAGTTTATACTTTTATAGTGTGGTGCTATGTGGAGATGGTTAGTAGGTATCTTGATGATTATAAAAATTAAGAGATGTTACCTTTTTTGGTGTGTTTAATGATTATCTCAGAGGGAAGGAATATCAGAGTGTTTGGCTTTGTGAAAAGCAATGATTTGTTAGATTAAGTTTAGGTTATATAATTTATTAATTTATAATTTCTGTGTGCTAATTTCTTTTTTTTTTTTTTGGCTATTAGCAAAAGATGGTGGATCGCTTGGCCAACAGTGAAGCAAATACTAGACGTATAGGTATAGTGGAAGATTATAAAAATTAAGAGATGTTACCTTTTTTGGT